CTTTTAGGATGAAGTTGTTCTGTCTGTCATTATCGCAAAAAAAGCAGCTGGAATCCCCGCATTTGACGTTGTATGTTGGGTTTCGCGGTTTTGTGCGGATAGAGAGAGCCTCTAGAGCAACCAAGACCTTGTTTCGACCTTCATTTTGACAGATTTGACGGGCTCATGTTCAAGGCCGAAAAACCTTTCGAAAACGTGTGCACCATAACGTGCCTCCCCAGTAGTCGACGAAGACGAAGAAAAGCGCATAAAACTTGCATGGTATGATTAGCAGCGATATGCCACGTAGAAGCTTCCCGGCAGCGCTTCAGTCGGGCCTGGATTCGATGCCAACCCATCGTAGTCGGTGACACAAGAACCCTCTCATCTGGTCTGGCCGGACTGTTAACAATGGCTGCCAAGCATAAGAAGAGCCACTCTTTGCGTTTGCAGTGCCCAAACAGTTCCATGGTGAAAAATTGCGGCGGAGTGCATCCATGGTACCTGGACAAGCTTGTATTCCAAGAAGCTTGAAGGCTCAACTTGGCGATGAACATGTGGCTGATGCCTCTCATTGGCGACAACGTCTTGCTGAAATGCAGATCGGTCTTAACCCTCTCTCCAGTTCTCGCGCGGATCGTATAGTGCACACCACAGGCCTTGGTGATTGGCCGTCTGTTGCGACTTGCAAGCCGCAAGCCATGCTGTCGGTTTTGCTAGCCCAGAAGCTGCCATTGCCTATGTCTGCGTGGATCCAGGCTTGATACGCCGGCCATTCTGCTTTGCGGTCGCTTAAGGAACAACGCGAGACCGAGTTGAGAACCGGGGTGAAGGCCCCCTGCCACTCAGTCTTGGGAAGGACTATCGGTCCGGTGGACTGAACTTAATTTGAAGGTATTTTTACTGCGCTTGGCTCGTCGGTGGAGCAATCAATACCCGGGCCATTCGGCTTTGCGGTCGCTTACGGAGTAGATTGATAGTGACCTCGTCGTCCATTGCAGCTTTCTGGCACTGATAGCGAGTTTGCAGGGCCCTTTTTCTGCCATGTTGCAGCGCTTGGACCAATAAGCGACGGCTGCCTCCCGACGCCAACGCCCTCTCCGTATCTTGTATGCCGCGGGGACACCGTGCCCTGGATGCGGCGTGGATGACCACCTTGATCGTCAGGCGAACTCAGCCAAAGGATCTTTGGCCTGTCCAATGTAACTTATTGGAGAGGTTCACTACTGGGCGCCTTATCTTTCAGCTGCCTCTTGTGTAAGGAATGCAGGGCAGTTTGCCTTTGCAATTTGTCGGCATCCCCCGCTCTGATTTCCTCTGGGATTTCAAGTAGCCGGCGAGCCTTGTTGCCGCTCTGACACATTGCACGCTTACTTTTGCATGTCCTGCTGTCTTACTATGCCTTGATGTGCCGCTATGTGCCATTGCGCGACACATGCTTTGCGGGAAGCGGGGCGCTGTGCTTGCCATTGGCGACCCTGAAATCTGGGAAGCGGGGCATCTGAGGGAGGACGATGTTGATATGAGCCGGGTAATTAATTGCTGAACGACTCTTGCCGGCTTAGCCTGTTGGTCGCAGCACGTTTCACCGATTATTGTTGTCTTTTTAGTTCATTGTTGCTTCTTGTTGATTCCGTTAGGACCGAGTGCGGCAACGCCGTCGACGAGGCCTGCTCACGCCAAAAAAAGCATTAAGATTCTTTTGACTTTGCCAGGAAGAAAACATTTTCTGTTCAAGTTGGAAAGCGGCCAATACAAAGGAGGGAGAGAAGGCGCAGCTCCACTGCATTGAATCTAGAGATTCAATGGGTTGAATTTTAGTTCGAACCCAGGTTTGAAAAATGTTTTTGGTTTCATCATTTAATCTATTTCTTCGTTTTTTTGAACACCCAAAAAAGGTTTTCTTTCAAATGAAAATGGATTTGGTTTTATTTTCATTTTTGTCCTTTTCTTGACATTCTTTATGATTGCCCAGTGGGCAGACTTCTTGCCAGTTGCTTTCGGAAAAAGAGCTTGGTGGCCTTGTCAATTTTCCGTTTGGATTGCCAAGTTTGACTGCAGAGAAAGCCGTCAAAGCCGGACTCGCCTGCATCAAAGTCAATGATTTCCGAGCTCCAGAGTTTGGGTTGGGGTTCAAACCCGAACCCTCCAACCCCCGAGCAAGTTGGATGTGGGAACCCTGGAACGTGGCAAAACCCAGGGCAACCCAGAGCAAAACTTGGGTTCGAACCGAAGGTTGTTCGAACCCAGTACCAACCTCACCTGCGACGGACCAGCCCGACAGACCTTCCGAGTCTGGTTCTGGCGGTTCTGCAGGTGCTACAGCGCATCTTTGCCAACAAAGACTGGAACACGGCAACCAGGATTCATAATGGATTTGTCTTGTTGCTTGTAGAAACCAAGTTGGGTGTCTTTTTAATAATATCTTTTTAAATATTTTTTCTCATTTGCGCTGCTAGAATTTCTTTTGAGAATTTTTCCCGTTGATGCTTGCAAACTGCGAAGCAAAACAAAGACTCTGTCCGAGTGTTGTGTGTGGAGGGTTTTGCTTGGGCATTGCAGTTTTGTTTTTTGTAACTTTCACTAGCTTTCAGTTCCAGTCGAAAAATTATCTCCAAGAAACAACACATCATTGCAATCCAGCTTGTTTCAAGCGGACCAAACGTATGTGTAGACACAAAGCAAAATCAGTTTCCACGTTGGAGAGCTTTTGACTTTTGATTTTTTATTTTGCCTGAGCTTGTTCCATGCCGGAAAGAAATCTTGCGGTCAGAATTGTATGAAAATGATTCAAGGTTGCATTGAGTGCATGGTGGACCATTTGTTCTGCTGTGCAGCTGGATCAGCAAATCATAGAAGTCCGTAAAAGCGAGTAAATGCAGAGAAGACTGATCAGCGACGACAGAAGAATACATTTGCAGGTTGACTACTTTTAAACATCTACGTCCAAATGTGAGTCAGCATTTTATCACGAACACAACGTCCCCTCTAAACTCGCCGACATTCTACACGCTAGAGTGTTTTCAGTCAGATCAGGCAGAAATCGCGTGGTGATCCGCCAGCGACACTAAACAGACAATGGCCGACAGTAGTGATGAGGAAGATGGCTGGAATCAATCCACCCAGATTGGATTGCAGGAAAGTACATTGTTAAAAGCCTTCCTATTCTGTTGCAAAAGCTTACTTGTGCAGGACTTGCTGAATGGTTCTGCGCGTGAGAAGCCGCTCCTCATCAGTGGTGTTGATGGATTGGTTTTCGCTTCAGAGAAGGACCTTTGGCTGCATGGCATTACGTGACTCAAACGGGGGCCGAACTTTGGTCTGTGGCATATGGCATATCCATGACGTGACATGCAACATGTTGAGTGCATCAGAATCATGCTGTGAGGACGTCCCTGCAAGGTCGTGGCCTCAGGCAAGAATAAAACGACGTGTGCTGTAGACTCACTGCCTACAGGTTGTCCACGCAGAAAGCACGAAGCTCAGAACATTCACTGTTATCGGAATGATGCTATGTTTCAGTCCACTGCGAAATGGTGCTATTTCGTGTTGGTAGAAAGCGTAAGTGAAACGTGAACTGTGGACTGATGGATCTGTCAGCTGTGTTTCCCTGTGTTTTTGCACATGAGTTCATATAGCAGTGTTATATAGGGCGGCTACATCCCACTTCACCTCATTGGAGCCGTTGAAGTTGCGGGGGTTACATCGGTTGTGGCGATTCAGCCTCGAAAGTTGGGGAGTTTGAGGGAGCAAATGCTGTGAGCTGGTTACATGCTGACCGGATTGCGGCTGGCGGGCCATGGTCGTGGCCGTATCCATCGCCCGCAGCTCCACAGGATTTTGCGCGCTTAGCTTGTCGGTGGCACTGTAGAGGCCATAAAGATACTATGTGAGAGAATGTGCAGGAGTCAGTCACGCAGATGACAGCGCGGACACGGGGCTCGAAACCCACATCGTGGACGCACCTCGAAATGCTGAGGCAACAAACTACTTCGATGACCTGTCTCACACAAGTGCCCCACGTTTGCGAAATGTTGATTCGTTGCTTTCTTGCCAGGGGCGGGCAGCTCAAGAAGCGAAATGGGCTGGTGATTACGATGGCAGACAGCACTGGTCTCTCCGAGAAGCGTGCCCTTTGTGCACGATCTGGTGTTTCTAAGTGACGATGCTGTGATGGGGAACAGCCTGGAATAGCAGGTGAGGTATAGGCGCTTGTTGGGAGGAATGTTAACCTGGCCCACGATGTGCACCTAGAGTTCGCTGTACAGTTCGCTGTGCTCCAATAGACTCCCGCAATGTTGAGAAAGTCGCTGTGACTGACCCATCAATCGACCACCGAAACCTGACTTTGCATTGTTTCGCCTGCCCAGACCATCCAGACACTTATCGAAACTGCAGGGTTGCCATGCTTCTTTTCGTCGCCACCTGATATTCGTATGGCGAGCAAAGAGCAAAAGCTTCATCAACGCCGAGACGTCGTGTCCCACTCATTGGTGCTACCTTTCGTTGCCATGGTTGTATAATTTGTGTGCATTTGCCACAGCGTGTTATGCTGCTTCGATGCACCGAAAACGAGATAATTCGGACTGAGTCACCAATCCGTGCAAAAAACCTTGCACCGTCGTTAGCTTCACGCGAATCTCGTGCTTGCAGTCGATGGCAACGAGTGATAATGTGTGTTTTTGAGAGTTTTGGGCCTGGACAACGAGCGTTCCCAGTTAAGCACTTCTCGTTGCAAGACGCGTGATTTCGCGATGGTTTGGGATTGATTACGCTCCGACTCGGGCAGTTGCAGCGCACCAGCAGGCCTTTTGCCGCTTGCATTGAGATCGGTATGGTCGTGTGAGCTAGTACCATGCGACATACGATTTGTGTTGGTCGTTGGACGTTGTGGAATGTTGTGCCTGGTGTCAACGACATCATCTAAGCCCTGGCGTGCTGGTTGGGCCATATAACCCACAACCCACCAAATGCGGTGGAACGAGAACCCAAAACCAATCACACGCACGGAATTGGAGGCGTTGTTCCAAACATAAGTGTGACGTCATGTCGCTACAATGGCAAGATGACAGGCCCCATCAGCAGCGAAAGTTGTTATCCACATGTGTTTAGGTTATGTACTGGCTGGTTTCTCCGGTTGCCATGCCCCCCAACAGAGCCCATTTTGGGTATGCTTGACTCGCTGTCAGATGCCATGTGCATGCAGCTATGTCGAAACTCACGAAAACGAACTTCGGACAGCTGCCGTTTGCGAAGTCGAATTTCCGGAATGGAGTCGCTGGTTGCCACAGGCAATCGGGAAACTTCGGGCCCCAGGCCACGATGATGACAAGTGCCGCAACCGACGTTCTGACTTCTGCAAGGTGTCGCCGTGCACATGCGGGAAGCCTGGTATTTTCTTTAAAGACTCTGTAGCGTCCCTTGCCAGTTGTCTGTACATCACCGACATCCGCGAAACCCCATATCCTGCCAGCAAGACCCCGAGGAGCGGTTGCCATATAGGCACCCACGGGTTGCTCGACCTTGCACGTGCAGTGATGCAGGCTTCCTGACACACCGCATGCGCGATTGGACCTGTCACCATCACCATGAGATACGGTGGGCAGAGCACGGTCGTTTCCGGACACGTCTTTCTGATTCCCTGAAGCTGCTGTGGGATGCAAGCTGCAGCTTATGCTTGGTTTGAGTGTCAGTGGTCAGTGAAGACGATCGTTCAGCTATTTGCAAAATTGTTGTTTATGTGACCAACATGGAATGGTAAGAACCCTTGACCGGAAACTGCCGCTCAATTGCTTGGGAATTGCTGGTTCCCATGCATAGCTACGCAGCAAGTGGGAGATTCAGAATTCTTTCCGCCTGTCTGCAACCTCATCAGCCCGTCGGCCCAGGAACAGGCCAACTATTACACAGCAAACATCTGATGCCGTCTCTTGGGGTTCGTTGGAAGCATACCGAAACAGGCGATCTAGTCGAGCACAAGCTCCGCTTGATGGACGGAGGCTACCACAATCATACCGCAGTTGTTGCAACCATCGCAGACTTCCGGGTAGGCCTTCCTCTGGTCCGCTTCATTCGCACAAAAACCATGTATTGTGTCCATTGCCGGAGAGCAAGAAGGCTATAACGTTGTAAACATTTGTTTTACGGGAGTTCTTCCACGAACTGTTGGTGGGACTCTACAGGCCGCTGCCGCGACGTTTTTTTTTGGCGGGCCATTTTGCAGAAACGCCCACCACGCACGTTCCCGACACAGCAGACTACCGGGCGCAACCAGGCCCACCAGCACACCCCGAGCACCAGATGCCGTCGGCGACATGAATGGCCATGCCATGCCTGAGCCAGCAGCTGAATACCGCTACGGCGTGGACTGGCTATGCACGTTCGAATGAGGCGGTGCCGTGCGTGTGAGGTGCTCCCGCGTGGCTTGTTGCCAAAGGCTGGCATTGGCCGGGACGGGCGGCAGCCAATGCGATTGCGCCGAAGAGCCGCGAGGCCCGGGCATGCATCTACTGCATGGCACCGCCATTTGGGACGACGCATCCGGGAAGTCCCCCGCCCGGGAACGCAGGATGACGTTGCCAGCTGACACAACCACAAGACAGACGTGGCGCGCGGATGCGCGCGGGAGCCGGACTGGGGGGGCATGGGAAAAGTTGCCGTGCTTCCGAGATGTTCCGAGCGAGCCGGGAGGAGCACGCCGGCCGTTGGCCACGCTCGCACAACTGCAACAAGCGATTGCGTGGCAAATGACCGCCTGCACCGCCCCCACGCCGATGGAGGCTTTGCGACGCTTGGCGGCTGGTTTCCCTACCGGTCGCCGGAGTTGGTACTTAGCCGCGAGTTTGCAGGAAACACTGTTTGTTTGTCTCGCGGGCGAAGCACAGCACCTCGTCCACTACTTCCCCCACTCCCAGCCGCAGACCCTTTGTGAGGAACCACCTGCACAGCCATGCGACGTTGACACCCAACCCAGTCCCGCTCCCGTCCTGTGTCCGCCAACCAACTGCACGGTCCGCGGATTTAGGCCGCCCTCGCTAGTCTTGACCGTTTCAATGCTGCGGACGTCCTCCTGCAGCCCTGCAGTTTGTTCCGCAGCCCGCCCCTTTTTTGCAAACTTCAGGTTCGGCGAGCCCTTTGACTGTCCCTCAAACTTCCGCGATGCCTCCATTGCTGATGCAACTCCCTGGCGGTGTTCCTGCCCCGCCTTCTGCTGTTCCGGCCTGCAGGGGTCCTGAGGGGTGGTGCCCAAACCTGAGTTCCTTGCACGTTTCTCGGGCTTTGAGCGCGGTGAATGGAGCGCAATGCTCCACGAGGCACTCGCCGAGACTTCCAACCGCCCGCTCCACTGACGGTGTCGACCGTCGTGCGCAGCGTGCTATACGCTTGGCCCGGGTTGGGGAACTCTCAGCCAATGCCACGAAAGGCGCTGCTCTCCAACTTTCGCCGGGCCATCAAGGCCGCAACACCGGGGCGGATACACAGCCGAAATCATCCGTTCGGTCTTGGATGACGAGGAGGATTGCTACTCTTCTTTGTGCTGGCCCTGTCAAGTGGTCGCCTTGTTGCTATCCGCAAGCCTTCTGGCGGCACACGCGGCCTTGTCGTCGGTGATTTCTTGCACCGACTGGTTGCCCGTACCCTAGAGATCGCCCGACAGTTCGCCTCACACTTCCAGGAAACGTGCAGCCCGCACTAGTACACCCTGTCGTCGCGGGCAGGGGCCGAAGCCTTGTTGCACACTTTGCAAGCCCACACGCAAGTTGACACACAGCTCACAATCGTTTCAGTTGACGCCACCGCCGGCCTCGCATTCCACCCCCAGGGGTGGCTTCGGACCTGTCCTTGCGGTCACTTTTTGGTCTTGTATTCCCTGGTCGGCATGAAGCCTTCGACACGCAGTGGCGGACGCCGATCATCGTGAATCTCCGGCAGCTGATCTCCTGCCCAGCGTCTTGGCTCATCGCAGACGAGCTCCTCCAATCAATGCGCGTGACCATTGTGGTCGGCGGTTCCCGCTCAGCCTGCTTCAGCATTGGCGTTGGCGCGATTAAGATGCGAAGCTGTCTGCCCTCACAAGCAAACCTTGGCAAGCTTGCTGATGTTCGCATGACATAATCTCCGATGGAGGTGGTCTCAGCTGTCCAAGCGTTCGCGGATGGCTCTGCTGACGGCAGTTACGACCGACCATGCTGTGATGTGTGATGCCTTTATGTAGTGGCCGCAAGCCATGAGCTCGGCCTCCAATGCCATTGTGAGGCTGCTAGTCTTTTGGCTTCTTCTGTTCGCCGTGGGTTGCGCAACTTCGTCGGTGATACGCGGGTTCCTGTGGCATCGGCTTCTTTGTTTTATGTTGTTCAACCCTACTTGGGGTTGCATGACTGGCGGAGTAGTTCCATCTCACATGATGTATACGGCCTGGAAAGGCAGCTGCGTCTGGTGCTTCGCTTGACAAGAGATGCTCCTTGGAACTTCCAGTTCTTCGGTGCCACAACTGAAGCCGCTGGTACTTTGAGGCTTGTGAGCTGCTGAGAGCAAATTGCCCGGCTGCCTCTTGGCTTGGGCCCCTGGGACTTTAGTCTGTTTTGTTTTGGGTTGTCGACAACTCAACTCACCTTCAAATGAAGCCTGCAACAAGCGATCCGCTTTCTCTCTCCTCAACTAAGTCCGGTTGCGGTGGGCTAGGCCATCGACCCAGCACATTGGCCGACCTCGAGATCACAAAACTTCCGTCCGGGCAATAGACTTGTACGCGTTCCTGGACGATGTCTACCCCACGTCTCCGCCGGAGCGTGCACTCCCGGCTTTGCGGGCCTCATGTGCGATGCAAGAGAATACGTTTTCTTTGCTACAGACGTTCTTTTGCAGCCTTGCCAGGTGTTCCGCACTCCGCCCGTTTTTGCAAACCCCAGCTATATCGTGCACTCCGCTGGGTGCTCCGCCTCATTCGCGACGCTACGGGCCCTAGCCCCACACCAGCCACACTCCCTTCCCCTGCTGTGGAACGCGCATGGAAGCTGTGGCTCCTCATGCCGCGCGAGCCTGCAGCGGCCAGACCTGCACAGCTCAGGGTAGGTGCGCTCCTTGGCTCGTCGCGCAGCGAGCAGTGCGGCTGTAGTGCGACCCCCGGCCCGACGAGGCACGCCTGCGGCGGTGAGCGGGGACACC